TGAGAATGGTACTGCCCCTAAGACTTTCCCATGAGGTACCTGAAAGTCAACCCACGCTGAACAGGACCTTAAAGGGACACGAAGAAGGTAGCAGGTGGGACCAGCAGATGTGGAGGAGGAAAATTAGGTCATGAAATGAGAAGCAGAAAGGCAGGGTTGGTGGGAAGGGCCGAGGGCGCCAGTTCCTCTCTGTGACACATTCCGAGGCTGTGGGCACCAGCCTTTAACCTTCTTACCCATCGCTACAATATTGTTTTTAATCCAAAACAAACTGGGTGTGTGTGTGTGTGTGTGTGAGAAAACGGTCATATTCATATCAATAAAAGTGAAAGGATGGGTTTTCAAAAGCTATCAACCACTAGCCTTTGGATGCAGGAGACCATTAAAAGGGAGGGCTTCAAAGCCTCAGGGAACGTCTCTTGTCCACATCCGCTGCTTCCGCCCATCCTGGTGGAGACCAGGCCTGGCCCTGCTTCCCTGGCAGCCCCTCTGCCCTCTCACAACGCCAGGAACCAACTTCCTGCTTTGTTTCAGTGAGGAGTATGGCTCCCCCCACACACACAGGCAGAGTGTGACTGCAGTGATCAAGATCACAGACTTAAGGTCTGTCTTGGTATCCGTGGCTGGGCTGGACTCTGACTTCCTCCAGCAGAGGTCATGTCTGTCACCTTCACAGCCCCCCTTCCCCCCCAGCATGCAGCAAGCCCTCACAATTCACAAGAGTTTAGGAGGCGAGACTGATCACCCTCCTCTGCCCCCACCATTTTTTTCTGCCTTGAAAATAAAATCTAGTCTCCCCAAGCAGTTTCCCTGGCCCTGCAGGATTGGCCCCCTTCCTATCTCTGTCTTTTCCCTCCTCTTTTCCAATGTGCAGCCTGCCTCAGGGCTCCTTGACCCCTTCTCCTCTGACTCACCCCGCCTCACCCTCCACACTCCTGCCTAAACATCAGAGAGGCCCTCCCACCGGTTTGAATCAGATCCCCACTGTCACTCTCAGTCCTGGTACCTGCTCTCTGTTGGCGTCCTGATCACCACTTAAAATTATACAGGTCTGTGTGTGATGACTTATTTGATGCTAGCAGGCTACAGACTCCCTGAGGGCCAGGACTGCTCTGCACCCCAGTGCAGCACCTGCACCTCAATAAATGTTTACTGAATGTGTAGGTTAGATAAAAGAGATGAGACAACCACAGGTAGCACTAGCCCCTTGAGCTGACCCTGTCGAAGAGGGCCACCAGATGAAAATAAAGAAAGAGGTAAGGTGTGGGTGGTTACAGTGGCCATCCAGAGGCCAAAAGGACACAGTACTGGAAAATCCTCATTCCTTCTAGGCTGGGAACCCAGTCAGTCTCCTGTCCACAACACAGGAACTGGGGAGGCAAAGCCCAAATGCCCAGCTCCAGCCCCTGCCATCAATCCTGACTGTCCAGTGGGCAGGGCAAAAAGAGCTCAGGGCAATAGAGAAAAGACTATTTCTTTCCTTCTCCTACCTCTAAGCTGGAACCCAGTACTGTGTGTCTGTGGCCAGATTCTGGCTGGAGTCCCAAGAAAGAGTTCCGAAAACTTTCAACAGGTTCAGACATATTTTCTTTAAAGAACAAACCAAAGCATCAGTCAGTCTTTAAAGCAACAAAAGGCTGACAAATTTGCATCTCAATCAGCTGTAGACTGGTCAGCTTTTTACAAGTCTAATTCGATAAATTCGATAAATGGCCTAACTACTTCTCTGCGATTCAGCCATCTACTAAGTTTGAAAATATTAGACCTAAGCAGAAACCTTGACCCTAAATCCTCCAGGCACTCCCCGTCAGGCGAGACATGGGGATCTCTGGGTTCTGAAAGGCAACAGGCTACTTGGACTTCAAGAAGCCAGGAACAGGGAGGCCAGAGAGATAAGCTGTGTGGAATCAGCAGGCCTGCCCTGCCCCGAGGATGCTGAGTCAGTGGCTTTGCCAGAGAGTCAGAAAAACCAAAATCAGAGGCAGGCGCAAAGGCACGGGATAAGAAGTTGATGTTCAACCCACATCCTAACCCTTCACCTTCACTTTGGGTTACAGGGGGGACCGGTCAAACCTCAAGAACTTAAAAACCAACTCAGCACTGCGTTGGCACAATCTCTGGGACTCCTCCCACTTAAACAAAGTAAGTAGTCAAGGTTGAGGCAGGGATGAAGTGATCAGCCCCAATGCTACTGATACTATAAAATAAATTAAATCAGTGGACAACTAGGGGGAAACCCCTAGAATCTAAACTTCCAATGCTAAGTGGGTCCAAAGATTATTTTTTTACTACAACAGTCCTCCAAGTGTGAATGAGATGCTGAAAGCTAATCTGGGGATGATGATGTTTCTTTCTGTTTTTTAAACCTTCTGTGCAGCCTGAGAGAGCCCATCAGGGAGGCAAGAGAGGGAGGGAGAGGAGGAGCCAAACAACCTGTTCCTTCCAGAGAGTCATTAATCTAACATCTCTTGGGCAGAACAGAAAGCTTGTTCAAGGAACAAGGTCTGAGTGACTCTTCCATTTCCCAAGATTTCTTGCTGATGTGGGGAAAGGTCTGCCAAGAACCCTTCGGCTATCAGGAAATATTTCTGAGTGGCTAAAGGCTAAAGGTTCTAAATGATATACTCTGCCCTGTCCCAGGCACCTGTAGGTCCCCTCCCTTTTCCCTGCCCTTCAGCTTCCCTAGAGACTGGAACACTCAGGAATGTTGTGGGACGATCAGGGAGCAGGGAGGACTCTACACGGGGTTAGAGGCCACATGAACTGGTTCAAAGCCTTTTCTTCCCCTAAAGTAAAAACTCTAGGAAGAAAAGAAATGCCGGCGGTGTGATTCAGGGAGTCAAGCTTGGGCTATCTCTATCGAAAGGTATTCATGCAGTGGCTTCCTGACAAAGGTCCTGGGGAGAGGCATTACTGAGCTCAACTACTAGGTAGCCATTGTTGGAGACAGCGAGAGGGCACAGGGAAATGTTTCCTATCAAGATTGCCTAGGAAGGAGGGAGAGGGTAGAGGATGGGTCCCACAGTTGGGCTGAATCTACTGACATGAAGCATTTAGGATCCTCAAACGGGGTTGGGGAGTATGAAGGTAAGGGTGAGGGTAGATTTCCTGTAGACCAGCATCCTCAGCCTTCATTCAGCAACACCAATGGTGTGGCAAAGGGAAAGACAGACCTAGTGTCATTTCCATAAACACCCCCTTTGCCTCCCCCCCACCCCCACCCCCCTGCCCATGGCGGGGTAGGAGGCCACTGAGATGGTCTCACAGCCTGTGGGAGGCAATGTCCTTTGGAAAATCATAAAGTACCAAAAATAGACAAGAAATTGTATCCGACAAGCCCTTAAGAGACTCCGTAATGGTCTGACTAAAAAACATCTAGATTCTCTATGAACCTTCCACGGGGTGGAGGCCAAGCCACTTCCTCTCTCTTGCTACACCCCCAGCCACTGAGTCAGGAGTTCCTCTTTCTACAGTCAGGGAGCGACTGTTTACTGCAAGGCAAGTGATGTGCCAGGCCCTAGGAGGACAAACGTCCAGCAATGTTTCCAGGTGGTGGAAAGTAAACCCTGGACTCAAGAGTTCTGGATCTATTATAGTCTCCAGCTGTGTGGCCTTGGGCAAGTCAGAAGATCTGAGCCTCTGTTTCTTCATCCACAAAACGGGAACAAAGATATACCCAGCAGAGCTGGGTGAGAATCAAATGGGCCTTTTGCTAACTGGGAGGCGCTGTGCAGGGAGCTGTGGTATTGCTGGCTAGGTCTTCACCGCCATCCCGCCCAGTCCCCAAACCCCCACTCCAGAAACCACCCTGAGCCTGCGACGCCTGTCTCACCTGGTTTAGTACACAGGTAGGAGTAGAAGCCCTCCGACTTGAGCATGATGAGCAGTGAGCCCCAGCCCAGGAGGACTGCCGAGAAGAGGAGGTTTTCCAACACGGCCGTGCAGGCCATCCACCAGCGACGCCGATGGGCAGTGGCCAAGGTGGGCGCCATGGCGCGGCGAGGCGTCCTGGCTCCGGTTCTGCAGCCACCTGCGCACAGACCTCGGCGTCAGCGCCAGGCCCTGCCCAGTCGTTGCGACCAAGCTCCGCCGCTGCCGCAGCGCGCGGAGCTTGTCACCCCTCCGCGGCCCGGACTGCAGGTGCGTGCAGCGAAGGAAGCCCCACCTGGGCCACCCGCCGCGGCTGATTTGTACGGCCGCCCTCGGCTATGGGAGAGCCGCTCCGGCCAGGCAGGGAGGCTTCTCCCTCAGCTCACTCAGAGGTAAACTGAGGCATGCTCGCAGAAAGAGACTAACGCATGCTCAGAAACGTGAAATTAGTCCTGGCTCCCAGCAGAGTTCACATATAGCTTGGAGGCCCGCAGGGGAGGCAGGTTGAGGACCGGACACCTGGGCAGAGGCATACCTGAGGGCGGCCACTCCTTCGGACCCTAAGAGGAGCCCTCCCGCCCGCGCTCGAGACCCTTCCCCAGAGCTGGTTTCTTCAACCACAAGATCAGCGCACCTAGCTCCGGAACGGCCCGCCCACGGCCTGTTGATTGGCCTCGCAGCACAGGAACTGCCGCGCCATTGGCCGCTGTCTAGGTCGCTAGGCGCTGCGACCACGCGAAACCCGCATGGGAGGCGAAGCCGGTTCAAACCGGCGGCGCGAGCCACCTGCTCGACCCCCATCCCGGGCCGTTTCCCCGGCAATTTGCCCGTTTCCATAGGAGCGGACCCCCGTCCCTCCACCCCCTAGCTCCTCCTCAATTCGTCATCTCTTCTGGCAGCTCCTCATCCATCCAATCTCTTTCTTCTCATATTCACACATCTTCTCCTAATGACCCTACTTGTGCCCCTTCTGTCCCCAGCATCCTCGCCCAGATCCCCAGGTTCCTGCTCACCCGGCTCCTACTCGTGGGTATCGGGCCCGGCCGGCGCTTTTTCTGTCCCCTTTTATTCCAGCTCTTTTATTCTAAGATGAAAACACTGCCACACGCTGATTGGCTGAGTGAGGCTGGAAACAGGCGTTGGCCAATCAGCAGGCACCAGCCCGCCTGGCGGCTAGCAGAAGCCGGTTCCGGCCGGACTTGGAGACAAACAAGACAGCTGGGGCTGCTAGAGGCAGCGGTGGGCCGAGCCTCTGCCCTGCCACCTTAAACTGGAGTCTCGGCCGGACCGGAAACCCTGGAGGCATTGCCCGAAGCCTTGGCCCGGTCTCCGGCTCCGCAAGTCGGTGCCCCCAGACTTCCCCAGCTGCACGCCCGTCCCCGTCGCGCGCCCAGCTCGGCTCCCGCATTCCGCTTTCCTCCGCCGGGCTGCATAGTCCCCACCTTCCCCTCTGCACTGGGCACCACGCCCCGATGCTCTAAGCTCCGTGTGGGTCGTTCCACTCCCGCCGCCTCCACTGCCTCCTCCCCAGGCAACGCTGCCATTCCGTCTGTCTCGGGCTTCTGGTTCTGATTTCTCGCTCTCCTGCCCACAGTGTCCCACATCCAGGTGCTGTCTGCCCATTCCGGATCTCTGGACCCCTGTGCAGGCGTGGTGTGCCTCTTCCCTGCTCTCCTGATTGACCGACCTCTTTCCTTAGTCCCTGGAAGGTGTATCTCAGGGATCCCTAAGTCGTAGTTTGGGGCTTGTCTGTCCCCTAGGACGGTGTCACCTCTTGCCCCATCCAGACTTTTACCCTCTCCCTTTAGTCCTCCCGGGAACCCCCACCCAAACCGGTCATCTTGCTCTCTACCCAAGTTGACTACTCCATACCCACGGTCCTGCCCCACCTCCACCCTATTCCCAGACATCTCCCTCAGGTAAGGGCTCTCTTCAGGGTGGGGCGGTGGGCAGCACCAAGCTGCAAGAACAAGTCAGGCCTCCGGGAAGATGCATGGAGTCGGGAGGGCTCCGGCTCCCAGTCTGATAATTGAGCTGGACCTGCCCGGAGAACTGCGAGAGCAGGGGGATGGAGCCCCGGTTCTGAAGATTCTGCTGCCCGGCTTCGTCTCCCCGATCGGAGGCACTAGCCCGACCTCGGAGGACCCTGGGTGTTCCCCACATTCAGCTCCGTCACCCTGGCACGCTCTTGGAGCTAACTTATCATCCCAGGGCTGTGGGAGCCCCAGCAACCTCCTGTTCCTTGTCCCCCGGTCCGAGAGCGCCCCCTGCCGCCCTGAACCCGTCGCTGGCAACCTCGTTCAGACCACACCTGCGTCTGTCGGCTTGGGGGATCATGGCTGGTTACCTATTCGGTTACCCACCCTGCAAAATCTCACCTACTCACAAGATTGCGACTGCCACTTAATAAACTTCAGTCTTTCCCTCCCTCCTTCTAGAGCCACCTGCTTGAGGGCGGTCTCCAGGCAACTGTTCCATACACGTCTCTAAACTGTTTCAAACAGATCTCTAAAATAATTCACTTTTTTCCCCAAAAAAACTGTTCCTCCCATTCTTTCTCAGATAATAGCACTACTACCTACTGAAGTTAGAGGCCTTGAACTACCTTTTCAACACCTGTTCTCCCTCTCCACCCTACGCCACCACTCCCCAATACAGCACTATCTCCTAATTATCTAATTTGCCTATCTGTGTTCTAGGACTGCAATTGTTGTTCATCCAGCCTTCAATCTCAGTGCCTGAAATTCATCTCTCCACCCCACCCATCCCAGTGAGTTATGGGAAATGTAAATCAGACCTTGGTAAATCTGACTTCTGCTAAAATCATCAAGTTCAAGTTCTCCAACCTGACCCACACAGGCTCCTCCCCAACAGTCTCCTCCCCCTGGAGGCTGGTTTACCTGCCTGATCTTAGATGCTCTAATCACATGGAATTGCTTGTGAATTGCACGTGCTGTTCTCTCACCTCTGGTTCTGAGTCTCTTCTTCAACAGCATCTCCAGGAAGCCTTCCGTAAGCACTCCCCACAACACTCTCCACTATCTTTGTCCACTGATTTTGTTGTTTTATTATGATCTGTGTATCTGATTCTCCCTTTTCCCATTGACTATGAACTCTTTAGGGGCACAAACTGTATCTTATTCAACTTTGTATAACCAGCCCTTAATACAGAAGCACAAAGCAGACACACAATATGAGTTTGTTGAATGAAAACATGAACAAATAAAAGGGGTGAAAGGTATCAGCTTCTGGGGACAAAGAGTTCATAGCTGGGAGAATGATGGAATGTCAATAATAATTATCGTTTACTGAGAGCTACAAATTTACTAGGTGCTTTATATACTTTGTGTTAATCACCCACAATAACTCTGGGAGAGGGCCGTTATCCCCATTTTTCAGTGGAAAAAACTGAGGCTTTAAGTAACATTTCCAGAGTCACAAAACAAGTATGTCAGATCTAAGATTTGAATCCAGGTCTATCTGAATGAAATTCTGGTTGTTGAAGGTTTGTTGTTGTTGTTGTTGTTTAAGTCTTTTTGTCAGGAATGTTAAAGCCCCAATACTAACACTGCTGGCAAATCATAAAGACATAAAACCACTAAAGTACTGGAAGAAAATGTAGAAGATTATTTCACTGATTTTAGGGTAGAGAAGACCTTTCCATTAAGTATGACATGAAACCCAAAAGTAAAAAAAAAAAAAAAGACTGTCTAAATTCAAAAAATTAAATTTCTATAGAGAAAAAAAGAAAAACACTGCCGGCATTCGCAGCCGGCAGCTGGCGTGAACTGCCAAGAGCCGCCGTAGCGGCTGTCCAGTGGCCAGTGACTGATCTGCCTCACCCGGGAAGAGCACAATGATAATACCAACGTGGGTCAGTGAGGCAACGTCCTCCACAACTAGACTGAAGAACCAAAGGACAGCAACTTGTCTGTTCCCCTTCCCTGATTTCCCAACTCTGTTCCCCTCTCCCAATTCCCCAATAAAATCTTTAAAAAAAAAAAGAAAAGAAAAACACTATAAATAGCATTAAAAGACCAATCACAAACTGGGCAAAGAATTAATATATTTTATATATATATATATATATATATATATATATAGGCATTTATAAAGCCATGAGAAAAAGATGAACACCTCAACTGAAAAGTGGGAACAGAAAATAACCAGATAATCTATAGGAAAATCCAATAACAAAGATATGATAAGAAGCTCAACCTTAGAACAATCATTGAAATACAAATTTATTTATTTATTTATTTATTTATTTTAGCTGAGCCATCCTGCCACCTGTTGGTAGCTCAGCGGCAGCTCAGCTCAGGCCGGACTCAAACTGCTGTTGCTCAGATCTCAAACCTTTGAGCGAGCTCAACCAACTGAGCCACTCAGCCAGCCCGAAATACAAATTTTAATACCGTTTTTGATTGTTTAAAAACAAAAACTTTTATCTGTACAAAGATTTTAACTATTTGAGAAGCTTTAACCTATTATTACTTTATTGTGCTAAAGTAATTATACCATTTTAAATTTATCAGATTGGTGTGGGGAAATAGATACTGCCATAATCTGTGACACTACAAGCCATACAACTTTTTTGGAGTAAGTACACAAATGTTTAATGTTTTTACCCCATAACCCAGCAATTCCACTTCTAGGAATCTCTTCTACAGAAAAATTTGCACAAGGTCAAAAAGAAATATAGACAAAGTTGTACAGCACATCATTTATTGTATCAAAACAATTAGAAACAACCCAAGTCCCCATAGGTAGGGGATGGTTTAAATAACCTGTGTTATTTCCACATGATGGAATCCCACGTAGTCATTTTTTATAAAAAGAGGTAGCTTTATATTTACTGGCACAGAAAGATACATTAAGTAAAAAAGCAAATTGTGGAACAGTATGCTTTTTTGTTTTCATGTGCACAGAAAAACACCTAAAAGGAAGCATCTAAACTGTTCATGAGGTTCTCTGAGCACTGGAATAGGAGGGGAAGCCACTCTTTATTTCTTGACTAGGTAATACAAGTATGTGAGGAAAAAATTCAGAACAAGACCAAAAGGCATTCAAGTGAAAATGTAAGTCTGGCCCCTTCCTGGTCTCCCAGACTCATCTGGGGAGAAGGGAAACCTCATTTTTACTGGATTGTCGGACGCATGTCATGACACATTTTGGCACGAAAAAACAGAAAAAATACGTCATGACTTTTCCGACAACCCAATACTTTATACGTGTCTGTAATGTTAGTACTATTTATTTTTAACAAAGAACATTGCTTTTTAAAATTCAATCTAGTGAGAAAAGTAAAAAGAATGTTCACTGTAGAAAATTTGCAAGTTACACAGAAGTTTAAGAAGAAAATAAATATCAGCCACAATCACATCTCCCAGAGAAAAATGCCATTTGATGCATTTCCCTTGAATCTTTTTTATGCACATACATCCTTAAAACAAAGTTTGTAAAAAATCACAAAATATACACAAATGGAAGAATTCTAAACATGTATCCTGTGGCAAAAAGAAATAAAATGTATAAAAAGAAAACTTATTTTTCACACTTAATAATACAGCATGAACATTCTCCTATATTGAATATTCTTGCACAACATGATTTTTAGTGGTTGTTTAGGAACCTATCATAAGAAATATTTCTTCAACCAAACTTTTATCATCCAACATTTAGGTTGTTTCTCATTGCAGAAAAATATTTTGAAAATGAAGGAAAGAATAGCCTTTTGAGGCAAACAGAGTCCAGGACAACAGAGAAAAAGTCCCTGCAGCCATCTAGTTCCCCTTCCTGACCCCATCCCCCCGGGGTCTCTGCCCAGGCCTTCCAGACCACTCCCAGTCTACCGCCAGGGCACAGAGCCAACTGGCCCCTAACTTGGACGTTTCCCCATAGAAAGGCAAAGGCTCTGGTAGGTCTTTCCTGGCCCTAGGATGTTTTTTCCAGCACACAACAATCTGATGCAGGGTTAGTTCAGATGCCTAACGCCCATCCATAGTTTTCCCACTCTCCAAATTCACGGTCCTCAGGGCTCTGGTGGCCCAGAGATGGGTGCAACATTCTCATACTGGGGCTCTTCCTGCCCTTCCTCATCAGCCAGCTTCTGGGGATCCTGTTTTGGGGGGTCATCCTTGGGGACCAGCTCCTGGGCACTGCCTGAGCTCTTGATGCCATCCCCCAGACCCTTGGCCACTTCCTCTAGCCCGGGTCCTGCAGCCGCCAAGGCCCCAGTGAGCTCCTCATTCAGGCTAGAGCCAGGGCTCTGACTGGCAGAGCCAGAGGCCAGCCCGGGGCTGCCCTTGTTCCGACTCAGGGCCCGGCGTGGAGGCTTGGGGATGGCACTCTTGACCTTGGGCTCTGTCTGGCCTTTCTGAAAGCTACCAAAGCGGCGGAGAACAGACCGGACGGGGCCATTAGATTCCCGGGGTGTCCCCACCAGCATGTAGATTGTGTTCACAGAGCCTGAGCTTTCCTGGACACTGCCCTCGATGGCTTCCACACGCTCAGCCACTGTCCGGCCACCAAGTGGGAGCCGGCGATGGCCAATGGCTGAATCCCTGGGGCTGGCTGCCCCAGGAGGGGTCTTGTCCCTTTCTGCTTGCTCGGGACTTGTGGACTCCTCAGTCTCCTGGCTTTCAGGACCTGGCTGGCCCCCCCGGGAGAGCCGCTTGGGCTTTCGGAGTGGGCTGGAGAGCTCCCCTGAGCTTCGGCCACTCTGCGGTGCAAACTTGGTACCTTCAGCAAAGGAGACCGATGGCCGCTTGGCCCGTGCTAGGCTGGAAGTGCGCGGGATAGCGAATGGTGTGGAGGCATCCTCAGGGGGAGGGAAGGGACCTCCAGCTAGGCTGACCTCTGGAGATTCTGCTTGGGCCACAGGGACCATCCCTGACAGAGGAGACAGAAAAGCTTGGCCAAAACTGGGCTGACCACCCCAGTCCATCCTGCTTACCCAGGGCAGCATCTTTGGGAAGCCTCAAAAATGGGGTGAGATAGAGGGTGAGGATATAGAGAAGCTGGGGCTACTACTTCTACACTCTTTTCTCACCTCTCTCCTTAGTTTGACCTAAGGCCACACTCCAGCTAAGCTAAAACTCTTTCAATGCCAAACAGCCATGTTCCTCTCACCTCTGGGCCTTTGTGTACACTGTTCCCTCTTCCTGAAACACCATTCCCACCACTCCCTAGCTTTCACTTGGCCAACCCCTGATTCTGCTAGACTCAACTCCAATATCACCAACACTGAGACATCTTCCCTGACCCCAATCTCCTCTGACATGGCTGGATTATAGCCCCTCCTTATATGTCCCCCATCAAAGCGCATATCGCTCTGTTCTATGTGTCTGATTACTGCCCACCAGGCTATAAGCTTGGTGAAGACAGGAATCTAGCTTGTTCTTTTCTGCATCCCACAGCCAGGAAGAGTGACTGGCATAGAATGGGCACTTGATGCGTACTTGCTGAAAGAATAAAAAAGTGGTGGTGGGCTGGGGGCTGCTCAGGGACCGAGTGGGCTGTTGGGGGATTACCTTCATGGGGTGGCACGCAGTAGGCAGGACCTGCGTCCTCCTCTCCAGACTCAGAATCAGAAGAGAAGGAGTCGTCCGAGGGCCAGCAGGCAGAGGGCGGCTCGATGAAGCTGGGGTTGAACGGAATCTCCGGGTCGTGGTGGGAGACTATAGGGGGCTCCAGGTCAGGCGCAGAGCCCCCTGGGAAGCCTTGTCCCATCCCAGCCCCCTCATCCTCAGCACCCACCTACCTGTCACCCAGGGAAGCTTGTGGCTACTGAGGGAACCGCAGGGCAGCGCGGAGCCCAGTCTGGTCAGTGCCCCCGAGACCTGGAGCTTCATCCTGGACACAGCAGCTCCATCTCGTGCTGGCCTGAGGGCACAGGAGGGTGGTCAGTGTGTGAGACCCCTGGTTGGGGCAGGGTGGTGGCAGGAGAAAAGGGCCAGGACTGTCCTAGTTCCAGGGTGTCAGGGAAGAAGGGTGACAGAGTGGCTGCGTCTACTTCAATGGCTCCCTGTGACCACAGAGTAAAATCCAAACTATCGAGCCTGAAATTTGGATCTGCCACAGAGGGCAGCATGACTCCAAAGCCAAATAGGCCTGGGCAGCAACTCTGTTCAAACTTTACCTCTCTCTGGGCCTCAGTTTCCTCATCTGCAAAATGGGGACAACTCTGATCTATCAGAGGTTTTTTTAGGTCCCTGCGCAGTACCAGGTACCAGGTGGGGTTCCCCAAAATGCAGCTATGTGCCATCATCATCCCAGCTGCGTCCCAGCTCACCCAGCTTTCTGGAGGTGGCACTACCTCCAGGAAGCCTGCCCTTGGCTCTACCCCCATGCTGGAAGTGACTGCTTCACTCATCACTGTTCCTCTGACAGCCTTTGTACATGTCCTGGTACTCATGTCAAGGGCTTCTGTCCCATGCCAGGCTCTATGCCCCAGAGGACAGATCTGACCATCTGTGAAGGCCCCATAGCACACAGGATGACAAGCTCAAGGATTAGTGCACGAACTATAAGGCAACACCAGATACAGAGTCCAGAAAACAGGGCCTGGGCATTGTGTGTGCCAGTAACCAGCCAGGTCACTTTATCAGTGTCCTCTGTCCTCTGCTAATCCTCTTGCCCCCACATTCCCTGCTCCAAACCTCCATGCTGTGGTGACTCTCTAAGGAGCAACTGTGAAAAAGATTATGACAAAGCTCTGTGGGAGTCCCCTGCTGCGGGCTGCAAGCCCAAACCCTTCCTCTTTTCTGCTTTTCTGGGAAAGCCACATGCTCTGCTAAATCATTGCTCAGGCTTTTATGTCCCTTTCCTTTCTGGGGGGTGTGAGGCCTGGTCTCTTCCCCTCCTGCTCAGAGCAGCCCTGGTGCTTCTGCCTTCCCTACCTCTTCCTCTGGTCCCTGACAGTGTAGCCTCGGCCTCCTGCTGGGGGTTTCAGTTTCGCCAGCCTGGTGCCCGGTGCCCCTGCTCATGTGACTCCCATTGAAGGCTTCTGAGGAAGGCAGGAGGCTGACCTGGTGTCTCCAGGCCATAGCTATAGCCACGGCCAACTACCCCGTCACCTCCCACCTAGGTGTGTGACAAGGTCCTCCCTAACCCTAAAAGGAAACCAGTTGCTACCTTGCTGTCACCTCCCACCTAGGTGTGTGACAAGGCCCTCCCTAACCCTAAAAGGAAACCAGTTGCCACCTTGCTCCCACCCCATGGCGTGAGCTTGGTGAGGGGAAGGGACAGGCCAGTATTCACCTGTCCTTGGGGTCCAACCGGGTAGCCCAGCAGCAGTAGGCACAGCAGGTGATGCCCAGGAGGAGCAGCAGCAGGGGCACTAGAATGCCCGCGATGAGGGCAGCATCCTGACTCTGAGGCCCTACAGGGAGTGTGTTAAGACAGAGGGATTTTAACGGTGGCATGAACTCTTCTATTGTGAGATTTGGACCTCTGGTATAAAATAAGTGTAATTTAGCTTGGGACTTTTTGAAAGCTCTCTTTAATTTGCCTCCTTTCTGCCCAAGCTTAATGACTGCTTCCTATATACATTCACTATGTTTCAATGGTTCTGTTTACTTGGGCTCAGTGCTGGCCCTGTGACTTGGAAGAGATTTTGCACCTGTATGGGATCCACTCCTGGTTCCAACTTAAATCTATATAACATATGCCAAGGTTGCGATAGCCCGTTTAACTGCACCTTCCCTCACCCCAACAGACAAATCCGAACTCAACAGAAAATTTAATTACAGGCCAGAGCAATTTACATCCTGGTTAGAAAATATAAAACTTGAGACCAAACAAGAACCTGACGCAGTCGTTTGTAGTAGTTTCCAGCAGACTCTGCCCAGCCGACCCTTCTCTTTACTTGAATAAACCTGCCTTCCGTATTTCTACCTGCCTTGTGAATTCTTTCACGGCCCGCAAACGAGCAGCCACAACAGAGTGAGCAATGGTCAAACAGCCAGGGCCCTCCTGTCTGCCATGTATGTCTCATCTAAAGCTGAGTTGCTTCCTCCCCAGAGTCTTCCACCTGTGGGTCCCTTCCTCTCTTCTGAGAGATCTAGACTCTGCTCAGACTCTGTTCACCCCCTCCTCCAGGCAGCCTCTCTGCTAGTCTCGCCCCTCCTGATGATCTGTTCCACAAGCTCTTGCCCCCAGTTCTCAAGCCTGATGCAGATTCCAGCGTCCAGCCCTACCTGCTCATTTCCTGGGTGCTAGCCTGGTTTCTCAGGGGACAGGGGACCTCAAAGCATAGGTAAAGAATGTCTCTGAATCGGGCTTACCCTCCTGGTAAGTAATGAACTTCTGGAGCTCATGTAAAAGGCCAATCTATCCCTGGTTACTGCTTTCCACCTTACCCAGCTGGCAGGCCCCAGAGACAGGGTGGCAGGATCCCTCGGGGCATTCACAGGGAACAGAGCAATTGTTTCCATGGAAGCCAGATGGGCACGAGGTGTTGCAGCTGTGGAGTGACAAGGAGGGATAGGCTGGATGAGAAGGGGTAGCGGCAGGCAGGGGACAGGGAAAGGTAGATTTCTGGGCACTGCTCCCCACCCCTACCACTCAGACTTCCCTGGATGATGCCCGAGCAGACTCCTCCAGCCTCTGCAGAAGCCACATTCTCAGTACCCCCAGCAGTGTTGGGAAGAATCCCTCATCCCCTAAGCCCATCTTCCAGGGAGACCACCCACAAGCTGCCCCCTGGTTCCCAGACTCCCAGCGTGTAATCCTCAAGCAGAGTCTACCTCTTGTGATCCAATCCCTTGCCCACCCAACACCAATGTGAAATAAGCAAGATGCCAATGGCATCTAGAAGGCATCCTCAGGGTCTAGAGGTCTGAGCCAGGCCCAGCCCTGCCCCTTAACTCTCTGGGCCTCGATCCTCTCCTCTATAAAATGAGCTCTCTCCCATTTGATACCACATTCTGTCCCATAGGTAGAAAACCTGATGCTGGGGACATTGACATGGATTGTTTTATCACCTGAAGACCTCAGAGAAACAACGGTGCAGTTGGGAGCCCTACCCCTAAATAACTTCCCCATCTAGGTAGGGAGATTGGCCTTTAGATTAAGCATCACTCTGACCGCCCTTTGAAAGATGCAAACCCCACAACAGGAAAACTAATTTCTCAGTTATGAGGATATTGGGTGGGTATCTGGGAGGCAGAGAAACTCAGGGAGGGAAGTGTAGGAAACAGATTGCACAGAGGCCTGAACTAGGCTCCTGCCTCCCCCCGCCAGGGCCCCCAGTCCTCACCTGGGCCCCCAGAAGCCAGCGTTGCAGACACATTCCCCAATCACAGGATCACAGGACCCCTGAACACAGGTGGGGCAGGTCGAGCCACAGCCCTCCCCAAAGGTGCCACTCGGGCAGGGGTCTTCACAGCTGAGGTGAGGCAAGACTTGGAATGGGGGCTAGGGCAAGCCTGGCCCCCACAGGGGGACCCTACCCATCCTCCCCCATGCTTTTGGACTCAGGGACCCAACTGTGGGTCCTCAGCAGTGAAGCTCAGGTGCAAACAGGGCTTTGAAGCTGGGGCCAAACTAAATAGGTGACAGACCAGATATCTCTGGAGGGAGAAGAGGGCAGGAAGCCTAACGGGCAGGGGAACTGGAAGAGAACCCTTATCGGCACCTCTCTCTCTCCCTTTAGTCTCTGCCGGGTGGCAGGCCCCAGAGGAGCTGTGTGAATGTGTGTTTGGGGGAGGGAGGCACCTATCCCAGAGGGATCAGCTGGGATGAGGGTTCGGAAGGAAGGTGTACCCCACCCTGAGCAGGCCAGCCCCCTTACCTGGGCCCTATCCAGCCAGGATCACAGCTCTGACAGTGCCCAGTGTCTGGCTGACAGGCCTCCCCAAGCCGGCAGTGGGGGCACTGCTGTCCGCAGCTGTCGCCAAAGGTGCCAGGTGGGCAGGGCTCGTGGCACTGAGTCCCATTCCAGCCTGGCTCACAGGACTCACAGCTGCCTGTGTCTGTAGAGCACAGCTGATTCTGCTTGCAGTGGCCACAGCTGGAAAGAGGCGTTCATGGGAAGCACTGCAGGGCGGATGGATGGAGTGCCCACCCACGCCCCCAGGGGCAACTGGAGAGCACCCAGGTCCCAGCTGAGTCACTCAGGCAGGTTTGAACCTCAGTTTCTCCATGTTATACAACAAAGAGGCTAAACAAATGATCTCTGCAGATTCTAGTACTATTCCAGCCCTCTCCTTCTAACCCCCCATTCTGAGACCCATCCTTCCCTGGGTCCCAGGGTCACCAGGCGCTACCAACACAGCCAGAGCAGCCAAGTTACCGCCCCAACCTTCACCTCCCTTCTGCCCAGCATCCTGCACCCCTTCCCCTTTCTCCCTCCCACCCGTGCCATCCCTGAGGTACAGCAGGGAGGGGCCTCAGTAGTTTCTCTCCCATCCCATATCATGAAAATGAATTTTTTTTAAAAAAGCATAAAATGTCTGTTTTTACCACTAGAATTTCAAGTTTATCTTATCTTTGAAATTTCCCCCATTTTATTGAGATATAATTGTCATGCAGCACTGTGTAAGTTTAAGGTGTACGGCATAATGACTTCACTTGTTATATTGCAAAATGATTACCACAGAAAGTTTAGTTAATTTTCATTATCTCATATAGAGATGAAAAAAAAAAAAGGTTTTTTCCTTGTGATGAGATCCCTTAGCATCCAGGTTTATCTTATCTTAATTTCTCATTGATCCATAACAGTTACTTGAAGTTTTTCCCTCCAGATACTTAATTATCTGCGATTATATGATTTGATCAGACTCACGAGTGGGGGAGAAGGGGAGTTCATAAAATCAATTTAGCAGATCCTCACCAGCAGAAAACAAACAAAAAACATTGCAGTATATACATTTTATATATTCATCTATTATATATTGTATATGTAGTAAAGATAAATATGTGCTGTCTGGTTAAGCTTTACTTCAGTTTTATATATTCTATACATGGGTGTGTATGCTAGGTGGGATATAAAACGTATTACTTGTTGTGGGTGGAGCTGGTCAAAGTTTGAAAGCCACTGACTCTCAGAGGGACCATGCAATCATTTTGTCGTGTGATTCATTCTTTATCTGTCTCTAAGTATGACTTGCCATATTAGTATTTTTTCGTTTAACAGTAACCAGATGAAAGGGGTGGGCGAGACTCATTGAGGGTCTTTTTTCCCTCCTTTCATCCGTACTTTCAGATTTGTGAAGAACGCCGTGCAACTTTCTCCCTGCGCCCCTACTTCCCGTCCCTCACACTCCCTTGCCCCCCTTCGCATCCCCTACCTCTCTCCCTCTGCTGAGCAGGTCCTCTACACCACCCACCCCCATACTCCGCCTCGCTCCCGCGGCCTGCCAGAGCCAGGCTTACCTGTGGCGGCACTGCGCCCCGTAGCGGCCAGGCGGGCAGGGCAGCTCGCAGCGCGCGCCGCGGAAACCGGGCGGGCACGTACACTGGCCGGAGACGGCGCTGCAGCGGCCGCGCAGGCACTCGCAAGGCTCCCGGCACTCCGGGCCCCACCACCCCGGGCGGCAAATGCAGCGGCCAGACTCCTGCGTGCACGGCGAGCCATGGCAGCTGCACTGGAAGCTGCAGCGGCGGCCCCACCAGCCCGCCTCGCACAGGCAGGAGCCGGTGGCCTGATCGCAGCGCGCCGCCGCGAGGTTGCACTGGCACGGGCGGCGGCACGCAGGCGTCCACCAGCCGGGCTCGCAGCGGCACGCGCCGGTCTTAGGGTCGCAACGCCCGTGGGTGCTGCAGGAGCACGCGAACTCGCAGCGGCTGCCCCAGCGGTCGGCTTGGCAGCGGCACACGCCGGTATCCGGCTCACACTGGCCATGCGGGTAGCAGGCGCAGCTTTCACGACAATCGGGGCCCCAGTACTGGCCCGGGCAGCCTGCGGCGGGTGGGGGTAGGAGGTGGAGGGAAGGGCGGGGAGACATGGAAGGGGTTCAGCGGGCTCAAGGCCAGTCATGGATCCCTTGTCTGCGCCCCCTTTTACAAGGAAGAGGGGAGCCAGGCCCACCCTCCAAGAGCCTGGCACAGACCCTTGGAATATCTGGCAGCCTATCCTCCTGGGGCAAAGTTCATTTTCTGCCCCAGACTGAACTACAGAACCCCTTAGCAGTGGCCCAGCCTCCTGCTTCACATTTCAGAACACACGTGAAGATCCTAAGTGGGAAAGGGGCCTGCCCAGAGTTACACAGAAGTGGGAGGGGACTTCATTCATGTTCCGATGAGCTGGGCCTGGATGCTGTCCATCAGGGTTGTAGGAGAAGCCACATTTTCCCTTAATGTCTCCTCTCAACCCTGATTCCTGGTGGCTGCCCTCTGGCTACCCTGCCCACCAACCCCTTTCCCATGCCCTTCTTTTCTGCCCCGCCAGGTCCCTGCTTCCACTCTCCACACATGATAAATAAAGTATATTTGAGGGAGACTGAGAATGCATCCATTTTGCAATTAAAAGGAACCACCAGCATTTTTTTCAGAGAGGCTGAAAAGGAGGGTGAAGGGCCCAAAATTGAACCTAGGTAGGGCTTTGTGGATATGGGTAAAAACCAGATGACTCAGGCAATTTCCCAGGAGTACATCACTTCCTGTTTCTGGGCCTCAATTTCCTCAGTGAAGCTTGGAGAGGCTCTGGCCCTTCGGTTCTAAGATTACATTCCTCCCTGCTTTTCCTCCCTGCTCCCCCAGTTCTGCCCAGCAACTTCATCCCTGTGGTGAGACTAGGACTTACGGGAGTTGCACTGGGCCCCGAAGAATCCAGGTTTGCATCGACAGAGGCCTGGTTTCATGCATACTTCGCCTTCCCGGCAGGCATCGGGTCCCTCGCAGATGGCTGAAAAGCACCTCACCCATGTCAGAAGGACTGGGGCGCAACTAGGGGACACAGCCCCCTCACTGGCTCCCAGTGCCCTGCCCCCTCAAGAGTTGTTCCTGCAGGCTAGATGTGTGTCACAGGATGGACCCTAACTCCAGGGCTCAGGATGGGAAACGGGCCCCAGGAAGGTAGGAAGATCACTGGACTATGTCCTCCCTTCTCTTCGGGTGGGGATCGGTCCTGGCTACTCACGGATGGTACATTCTTGATCTTTCTGCCTCCAGCCTGGGCAGCATTGGAGCTCAGCAGAGGGGCTGTAGGGGCAAAGAGGGGTCAGCCAGAGGGCAGCCTGGTTCCACAGGTGGATCACTGTCTCTGGCTGAGATGTGGGAGGCTGCCTCAGCCGCATCAGGCAGGCCTAGCCAAGAGTCACAACCCCAGTCCCCAACCCCTTCCCTGGCCTTCCCACCATCTGCCCTGACTATCCGTCACCCTCCAGGCTGTCCCTAAGCGCCGCTCCTTTCAGTCCCATGACCTCTTATCTCACATTCTCCTTCCCCCCCCATGCCTCAACACCAGTTCAGCCTCCCCGGCCCCCCATCAGATTCCCACAAGATCCACCTGTTGGCCATGCAGACGTTCCGCCCATTAGGGTCCAGCTCAGACCCCTGGGTCTCCTGAATCCAGAGCAGCAGCAGCAGTGGGAGCAGCAGCCCCAGCCCCATGGCAGCCAGCGTAGTCAGAGGGCTAGTTAGTCTGGCCCCAACAGCTGCCAACCCCCTCCCTGTTTCCTCCCTCGGCTTTTCCTGAGGAAGCCAGGCCGGAGAGGCGTGCTGCCATGAGGCACCTCCCTGAGAGGGTGGGTAGGCGGTTGCTGGGAAGGCCACAGACACCAGAGAAATAAAAAGGCCATTTCAATAAAAAATCTTAAAAAAAAAAAAAAAAGGCAAGTCCAATGACAAATGCTGAGTGAAGGCTTAAGGGGCTGGTCTCAGTCTAGAGGGGGCAGGAAAAAGAAGTAAGTCCTGGGATATTAGAGACAGGCAAGGGGTTGGGGTGAGCGGGGCATGGAGGAACCACAGCTTGCTGTTAGGTCATACTCTCCAGCGAGGCCCAAGCTGGGAGAAGCCTCCCCACCCAGTGATGACCAAGGAGACCCTATGGGGCAACCTCAGCCGGCTTTGCCCCTGGCTGAGCTGGGGGAGTGGGGGTGGGAGCCCACTGATAGACAGACATGGAACAGCTTCTGGGTATCATGGGCATTTGCTTTATTACATTAGCTTAGGACATCTGCAGAAACTCCTGGGAGGTAGGTAGTTAGCTCTCCATTTCATAGATGGGAAAACTGAGACTCAGAGAGGAAGCACTTTATATGGCCCCGGTGGCTTAGCTCAGGGATATAGGGAAGGCAGGCTGAGCTCCCCATCAGTCCTGGCTCGGGCCAGAATTGGAAGAGCCTGGGGAGGGCTGGGATGGAGGGAGCCCCCTCCTCCTTTAAGGTCACACATCCAACCACAGCCAAACTCCAAGGTGAGGCCTCTGGGGCAGCTGAGAACCCCCAGACAAAGATGTTCACTGAGAGCAGTCAGGGCCAGTTCAGGAGCTGGGGGCAATAGGGCTGCCCATGGGCTCAAAGTGGGGTTGCTGTGGGGCCTCTTCTTCTCCCCCTGGCTCGCTGGTATCAGTGCTGCTGGTCTTGGCATCAGGGGCTTCTGCTTCACCCTGATAACACAGGCCAAAGCTGTGGGGAGACCCAAGAGGTAGTTTGAGCCTGTATGCCAGAGAGATCAATGGTGAGAAAAGGGGATATAGTAGGAAGAAAGGGCAGCGTGAGGTAGCAGGGAGGTGAAAGGGCCGGGGCCTAGAAGGGGGAGGGGAGGGACATACTTAGAGCTCAGGACAGAAGGGTAATCTCAGGGGAGTGGGAGAGGGGATGCTGAAAAGAACCAAGGTAGGGCCCCTCCTTCAACCCCACCACTTTTGCCCTTCCTCTTCCCCCAACATACAAACTCTGTATTCTGGACTCAGGGGGTGGGAGATGGTCTCCCTTATCACTGGAAAGCAGGAGCCATGAGCCATCCTCATCGTCACTGAGGCAGAGGAGAGAGGAGATGTGAGGGTCATTTATCAAGGTACTGAGGGACAACAGGAGTTCAGCTGTGTTCAGTCTTTTGTGCAGCCCCCAGGAGCAGGCAGGAGAGGACAGAGTGACAACGGGGCCCTGGAAGCTAGAGAGGAGATACTGGGGAGATGAAGACATCTTGAGATTTTTATTTTATAGCCTGATGGACAGCAGGCCCCTGACAAGATTGCGGCTACAGTCTTTGTGTGTGTGTGTGTGTGTGTGTGTGTGTTGTGGGTTTGTTTGTTTTTTTAATTGCTAGATTACTGATTTATTATAAAACAATATAACTCAGGAATACCCAGATGGAAGAGATGTATAGGGCAATGTATGGGGAAAGGGTGCAGAGCTTTCATGCTCTCTCCAGGCCCACCATTAGTCCCACATCTCCATGTGTTCACCAACCCAGAAGCTCTCCAAACCCAGTCCTTCTGGCTTTCTATGGAGGTCTCTGCAGCTAGTTTTACCCCTCTGAGAACAAACAGATATAGCCAGGGCAGGGAACTGAGAAATGAATGTGGCGAAACAGTGTTAGCAGTTTTCTTCTGCAGGATGCATGCATATGGGAGCAGTGTGATCCAGAGAGAAGGGTGGCAAACTCAGGTCAGCAGGATAGACAGCAGGATAGACAGCAGGCTCAGGGGGTGACCAAACCAGATCAGCAGACCCAAGGGGTAACCAACACAAAATGGCAGGCTCAGCAGGGCAGGCAGAAAAATAGGCTAGGCATAACCAGGTCAGGTTAACCAGTTCAAGAGTAAGTAGGCTAGGTGACAGGCTTAGGGAGTGACTAGGCTTGGGTAGTAGGCTCAACAGGTGACTAGGTTGGGGTGATAGGTTCAGTTTGACACAAAAGACTCAAAAGGTGACCAGGCTGGGTCAACAAGCTAAATGGGATGACCAGAGTAGGTCAGCAGCCTCAGGAGGTGACTAGGCCAGGTTAGAGCATGACCAGAATGGGTCATCAGGCTCAGAACAAAGGAGGGAGGGCTGGCTCAGTGGGAGTGGAGGCAGGGACTTACCTGCTCTCTGCTTCCTCTGGGGTCCCTAACATCTTGGCCTTGATCTTCTTCCGCTGCTTCCTGACAGCCACCTTCATGGCTTCCAGCAGAAGCCCAGGGACCCTGTGGTCAGCGAGCAGCTCCCTACAGAGGAGGGGGAGGGGCAGGGAAAAAGTGGTGGGGATGCCAACAGTAAATCTCATCCCAAGTACCTGTGCATGTTGTTCCCCTGTTTTGAAACACTCTGCCTTACTAACACCCCTCAAACCGAGGCTTAGGTGTCACCCCTCCTAGGAATACTTCCTTGACTGCTGCTGCAGCTGCTGTGACCCTTTGCATTGCCCCCTCCCTCATTTGGATGAAGTTCCAGGAGCGCAAGGGCTGTGCGATGCATATCCTCCCAGTGCCCAGCACAGGGCCTGGCCACTTGTCACTGTTTATACATCAACGAGCCAAAGAATGAGGTGGGTGACCTGAGGCCCAAAAACAGGTGTAACTGGAGTCCCCTCAGCTTCTCAGCCCCTGCCCCGCGTCCTCACCGCTGGAAGTAAGCCAACTCCTCCTTCAGCAGGAACACATTGGCTTTGAGCTCATTCCGCTCCTGAAGGATCTGCTCAAGCTCTTCCCGACTAAAGCCACACTGCCCTATGTTGGAGGGGCACTGTGGCTGCTGCGGGGCAGTCGCCTGTGGAAGGACAGGCTTGATCAGGGGGGTGCGCTCCCCTGACCCTGGGCCATTACAGGAATGCTACAGGGAGTGACTGGCAGGGAGACTTGGGAGGCAAGGGCGCTACAATAGATGACATACCAGTGCTCTAGCTGACAGTGGGACAGAGGCCGGCTGGGGGGGACACACTTGTGTGCCACCTTCTAACTTCCCGCTGAATTTGTTACACAGCACAGCAAACCTTTCCCAAGTACCCATCAAGTGCCATATGCTGTGAGTACTGAAATGGGTCGCTGACTTCAGCGGGCACTCACTGGGTCCTCAGGGGTCCCCGGGGCTTCTGCTCTGGCAGTCGCTTGCTCAGGATCCTGCCTCTGCTTACACCCAGGAACCTTGGCCTGGTCCCGCGTCCGCTCCTGAGCCAGCTCCACTGCCTCTTCGCGCCGCAACTCCCGCTCGCTTTCGCGGTCCCGCGTGGCGCGAAGTTGTATTTGCACCGCCGCCAGCTTTTGCCGCAACTCTGCATTCACCAGCAGGAGGCGCTGCAGCTGCTCTTGCAACTGGGGGCGGAGCAAACGATGGGGCTGGTGGGCGGAGTGCCGAGGGGCGGGGGGAGCCCCGCCCCTCCCCGCGCCGTCGCCCCTCCCCGTCCTCACCGCCTCTGTCTCCTGGCTACGCTGGAGCAGGTCACGGTTATGCGCTCTGAGTTCGTCCCGCTGTCGGTCGGTCACCTCCTTGAGCTGCTGCAGCAGAGCGCGCTCCTCTGAGGAAGGGGTGTTCTTAGTGGCGGCCTGAGGGAGGTAGGCCCTTAGCTGGCCCCGACCCGTCCCTCTAGCCGGGCCCGCACTCACCCTGTGGCCCAGAGCTCAACTCGCTGCGGAGGTGCTCATTCTCCTCTCGCAGCCGCCGCAGCTCCAGTTCGGCCTGCTGCGCGGATACCTGCAACTGGGGAGTCCCGGCTCTCAGGATTAGGCTCGCGCCGACCCCGCGGGCGGCGAAGGGTGGGGCTCCCGTCGACTCCGCGAGTGGTGAGGGGTGAGGGCAGTGACTCACCGAGTCCGGGGCGGGCCCCACGGCAGCCTTTTCCAGAAGCTCCAGCGCCCGCACCACGAGCGGCACGAGCCCGGCCGCAGCCTCCGGCCCGAAGCGGCGTGCCAGCTCCTTCAATTCAGTGCCCAAGGCTCCCGCTAGATGGTACACGAGCTCCGCGGCCGTCTCCGACCCCGCGGCCACTCGAGGCCCCCAGCCATGCGCCCCAAGCCCCACCCTCCTGGTCTCCATATACCCTGAAGGCCTAGGGCTGCGACAGTCACCCCCCCCACCCGACCCCCAACTGGGGCAGGAAAAAGCTAAACAATTTCTGCCCAGGAAGCAGTTTAGGGCCGTTGAGGGTGGGGTAGAAGCGACAGGGGAGGAGCGATTAAGGGAAACAGCGTCGGGAAGGAGACAGTGCTCTAGGCCCCTTCCTGTTCAAGTCCCCAAGGTCACAGGAAGCAGGACAGCCAACCTCCAGCCAGGAGTCCAAGAGCTGAGGCTCAGGGTTTTAAGTGGTCACTTTCGTCAAGCCCTCCCCACAGGGCCCAATCCGGGCTCCACCCCTGTGTCTGGAGTCATGAGGCCTCACTTGGTTGCCAAGTATTTCAGGCAAGAGGTGAGAAGTAGGGCTGTCATTGGCCTCAGCCAGATGGCCAACTGTCCAGCCTTGTGCCTGTTTCCCTGATCAGGAGTGACACATTTCCCTGACCAGGAGTGACACAAAGCTTAAGGGACTAGGCTGGGCACCACAGCTGCAGACAACAAGCCACAAGCTTCCCAAGTCAGAAAATAGCAGCTGCTCCAAGGGATGTTGAAAAGGGGTGATGATTTGCAAGTATTTTGGAGCAAAATTGGCAAATGTGGTCAAGGCAGTGGGATTATGAAAGCCCAACCTCACCTTAGTTCTCTGAACCTAAGGGAAATTTAGCCCCACAGCCCCTGAATAGGGAACCTCATGTCCCCTCAAAGCAGAATCTAGCATCTTGCCATTAACAAGTCTGGTCTCCCAATCCTATACCCAGAATGAGCTTGTGAAAAAAAAACTCAGAAACTCCAATTTATATAAAATGTATTATTACACTTTGTTCAGGATTACAAGCCACCAGGAGGTCAACAACAAAACAATAAGCACAAAATGGGGAAAAAGGGGTCAAGCTGCTGAATGTCACCAGCTTGTCTGTGGGGGTAAAAGACTCCGGCCTTTTGGGGGAATCTGAAGCAGGAGGAGGAAAACTAGGCATAGAGGTCCTCTCGGTCTGCAGAGTAGACTTCGCCCTCCTGCAGGAGGGCAAAGTTGAGGAAGTGGGAGGGCCTGTGCACCTCGTGGTAGAACTCTTTGGGGTTTGCCAGCTGCAGCTCATACTTCATGTTGGGATCATGCCGGACACCTGGGGTAGATGAAAACATCCAATGTTAACAAAGTCCACCTGTCTCTCCCAGCTGGAGCCCCTCGGCCACCTCTACACTAGAGGCAGGCCCCAAGTGCTAAGGGTGATGGCCCAACTGCACCCCCACTTCCCTGTGCTTCCCCACTTACCCATAAAGTTATAGTTCCACGAGGACTGGGCAGGGACCATAAAGAAGCCGAGAAAGCGGTCTGACAGCAACATCTGAACCCTCTCATAGTGCGAGGGTAGGTACCCCTTGGGGTTGTTGCCCTTGTCTGTGTTCTGGCGACCCCATTCATAGCCACTGGGGGTCAGCTTGTAGGCTGTCAGTGTACAGGAGCCTGGTGTGAAGCTGGAAGAGGGATGAGGACAAAGGGAGAACTCAGGCCACCATTCTGGACCCTGGCCTGCAATGCCAGCCCCACCACACTTCTCCCAAGGGGGCTCAAGCCCACCTGCAGGTGATGATGATGGTCTTCTCGCCGTCCCAAGATGGGTTGTCAGCCATGATCTTGGCATGGGTGGTGACATCCTGGGGCGATAGCTGGGGGGACTCATTGGGCTGAGTGTGGATCCAACCTAAGGGTTCCATCTCCTATAGGCAAAGAGCAGTGAAAAGCTATTTAGAGCCCTATCTGCAGACAGGAACCTGACTCAAGAGAGTAATAAGCCTGCCTTCCCTCCCTCACCATGGCAGCAGAACTCCACCCCCACCCCACCCCCGTTCTCTCAGATACCCACTGACCTTGAGGTACTCATGCTGCGGCAGCTGGCCAGGCAGGTGCACTGTCTGGTGGGTCCCCCACTGTGGAACCATCACGATGCAGCGGATCTCCTTCACCTGGGGGTTATCCGGTGGGCTCACGCCATACAGGTATCCTGCAATCTGGAGACAAGGGGGTCAAGAACCAAAATGATTCTTAGTACCAGCCTAAACTCTGGGCTGTCAGCCCTGTTTCCTTCCCTTCTCCAAGAACAAGGACAGTTTCTAAAAATGTGGTCAGAATCCTGCATCAGAATCACCTGGGGTGCTTGTTCAAAACATTAAACATGGACCTAATCTCAGAGTTACCATATCAGAATCTCTTGAGTGGGATCCAGGGGGAAAAAACTGCTCACACGCTCCTCAGTTCATTATTTAAGCATAGTCTCCATAAACAAATGAGCATGCAAGCACACAACTCATGAATTTACAAGGTGAACACATCTTTAAAACCACCACTAGGTGGTATTTTAAAATTTACATTGCCATCTACAAAGAGGACCTATGTTCCTATAAACTCACCCACAAATAATATTAACAATCTCTTCAAATTCACCAACCAGAGGTCACAAATGGTGTTTTATAAAACATGAACTTCCCCGATTATTAGTCAAGATGAGCATCTTTTCATATATTTGCCACCTGTAGTTCCTTTCTTGAACTACCTGCATATTCTTTGCCCATTCTTCTAGTTACCGTTTTTTTTAAATCCACGTCTGAGAATTCCATATTCTAGATCCTTCTCCATTATATCTTAAATTATACAAATATTTTCTTTCCATTTTTAGTTTGTCTTTAGTGGTATCCTTTGTTACACACAAGTTATTAATTTTGATTTGTGCTTTTGTGCTGTCTTCAGAAGGCTATCCCAACACTAAGGTAAATATTTTCTGTTAATACTCTATAGTTTCTTTAGTATTTTACATTCAGATCTTTACTCCACCTGGATTTTATTTTTGTAAGTGGTGTGAGCCCAGGGATCTAGCTTCCTTTTCAATATCATAAGGCATTCTTAATCCTACAGACTTGATACACCACATTTATTATGTACACATGAATCTAAGTATATGCTAGTCTCTTCCAATAGTTTCTAGGCCAGTAATACATCCTTCTTTTAATTGCCATAACTTTATAATGTTTTGATATCTGATGGGGGCTAAAACCCTCCTTGCTGTTTTGGCTATCCTTGTATATTTATTTATCCATGCATGTTGAAACCAGCACCTCAAGTTTCAGGAAACCTCAGGTGCATTTTAGACACACAAAATGCTGGGTACACACCATGGCCTGGTTGAACACACTTACTTGGGCCCGAAGGTCAGATATGCAGATGAACTTCTTAAGCACATTCTTGGGAAGGATATAGGTATAACCAGTCTCCTTGATGTCATCAGATGAAACATAGATGTGATTGGTCCTTAGGTGCAGGTTGGCAGCAGAGATGGCCCTAACGAACAGGTAGAGATGTCAGCATATCTCAATCCAAGCATCTTAAGTGGCACCAGCAGGCCTTTCCATCCCTACCCCTCTTGCCGGACAGTACCTGACCCTCCATTCAGTCTTAGATGAGAAAGTCTGGGTCTCATAGTTGCTGGTGGTAGAGGTAATGATCTCATCACCGTGCTTGTTGACAGTACGAGTCTGTGTTGCAGTCAGCTGTGACTGTTCCTTGGTCTGCTTCTCAATCTCAGCTATCTGCTGCCGCTGCTGTGAGGGTGCCGAGATCTCCATACCCAGGATGATGTCCCGAATTTCTGATTGTGTCAGTGATGCCACATTTACACTGTGGGGACAGTGTGGGTCATACCACAAGGATCCCTTCCCCTCAGTCACTTATGCCTCAATGACAATAGTGTAACTTGGTGGGACAGGGGAGCCCATACTCTTACCTCCAACAATCCTCAAGTGACACTTGTGAAGAAAGTGTGAAGATGTACTAATACTGATAAGATTCATCACATCCCGGGACTGCCCTGTGCATGTGCACCTTTCAGCTATGCTCATACCTGCTCAGCATCCACACCTCCCACTTTTCCTTGATAAAAAGTGCCCTGGCACAGGATAATTCTCAGAAACAGAAACCTTAAAACACGTTCTCAGAGCTAGTACTGTCAGTCACCCTAGAAATCTATGGACACTTGCTCGCCACAATGACAGGGGAAGAGAGGGAAGAAAGGTGTGCATGTGCTATTAGCGGTGGTACCTGGGGATCTGGAGTGTAAAACTTCCTGTAATGTATGGACAGTAAAGAAATGTCCTGCTAAAATGAAAGCAGTGCCTCTGCTGAGAAACTATGCCCAAGAGTCAGACTTAAGCCCCAAAACACAGACACTTCTTACACTTTCTGAAGACACTGCCTACCTTTCTTCTATAGGTATCTCCAAGACAATTTGAGAAACTTCTGAGCCTAAATGTTTCGAAATCCTCAAAACCATATACTGAGCCAGTTATGTCACCCTGTTTGGGTCTTCCATCCGTCTCCCCACCACCACTGCTCACTTGTTTTTCTTGCCATAGTCGGCCAAGATAAGATCCTTGAGCTGCACCTCCACCTTGATCCATTCCTCATCAGTCAGAGTGGGCCAGATGTGGTGTGGTTCTGTAATAGTAGTCTTGTCTGGCTTCAGGATTACCTTCGCCCGGTCATTATTCACATGCAGGGCACGCAGAATCAAGATGAGGCGGGAGAAAGCCTGGGAAGAGATGTGGCAGTGTGGGGGAGGTCAGCCACTTGTTCTTCTCCCATCCTCGACTATCCTTTCAGGGAACCTAGGAACTGATTTCAAACTCGTAAGGTGCAAACCCACACTCCCTCCCCATGAGTCAACTTGATATGTAGAACATAGAGTCCTTGTCTCATCCACAGGTTGAAGACGTAATAATGGCCCCATAAGGGGCCTGTGGGGAAAGCTAAGGCACAAGATTTCCTCAAGATCCCCAAACATACTCCTCTTGGAGTGACCCTCTTCATGAGGTGGCTTCATACCGTGTAAGATGAGATAGTCTTGAGCCAGTCATCATAGAGGTTAAAGAGAACCATCTGGGGCTCAGTGGCTTTAAGGATGAGGTCCCCAAACTTTTCCACCTTAAGACAAGCCTGGAAGGGGAGTTGAAGCTCTGATCCTTTGATCACGATATTGGGGAAGTCCAGCAAATGCACCTGAGACAAGATAAAATCCAAGATCAGAAACAAGCCTGCTGGACTCGGCCCTCCTTTCTTTTACCTCATCCACTTCTCACCTCCAGTGGATCCAGCATGCCCTTCCTGGTGACAATGATCTGCTTGGGCTGCTCCTCCACAGGCAGAGATCGGATCAGGGCAGCCACCTCCTCAGCTGTCT